GCTTGAGGCAGACTGAGCTAGGACTGGAGTGGAACCGACACACTACAGAACACAGGGACAGGCCTGGATGATCAGGGCAGGCCAATAGCCACAGGCAGGAGACGATGAAGGATGGAAGGGACACAACTCTATGAAACATGTTTCTCTTCTAGGGTATACAGAGTTATCGCCCGCTCGCTATGTGTTTCGTAACGGCAAACTTGTCTGAACGACTTTGCGCTAAGTTGCCCGTGCGACACTTCCAAAAATTAAATTAAATTTAAAAAAACAAACAGTTGATGTCACTCTAAATAAAGTAGCAAAGTAGAGGAAGAAACTAGTGACCTATAATCATTATACAGAACAAAGTAATCCATATTTTTGCTCAAATCTGACACTGCTCTCCCTTCTTTTTTATAAGGGATTTTGAGATTATGATAGATATACCTTGTAAGTGACACGGTGTCGAGAGTTTCCGCAAAAAGGGAATTAATCGTAGTTAATAGTTTCTAGGAATGTAACAACACAAATTAAATATGATTTTCAACATTTTCGCCAAAAATACCCTGGTTAAAAAAAACCCTAGATCTACCGTTCACAAATTATCCCTCACCCCCTCCAAAACAAAAACCAATCTAAAAACCCCAACTGATTGATATCCTCTCTGATCTTAATTTGCGTAATAGCTGATTTCGTGAAATCAGGTTTTGCTGTAATGGGCAAGCAACAAAAGGAAGAAAAAAGACAGACAGCATGCGTCCACATGCAACGGCAACTGACACGTCAAAGAACCATGCAGAACCAACTCGAACAAAGGACATCACAGTGACGCTAGCTACTACATCACCGGACGTTTGCACGATCGTAGATAACTCTATCAAGTTATACCAGGGAGGGAGAGGCATATTCTTCACTCTTAGTGTCTACTTATGGTAAGTGAGGGCCCAATGTAAGTTTACAATAGAAATAAAGGCTAGTCCATGGAGTTCCTGAAGACCAAACGCTTACTTGCATGCCAATCAAAGAGTTAAATTTCACATTTAATTTTACATTTTCATTTTTATCAAATGTTTATATTTCATAAGACGAAAAGACTTCTTTATTGAAGCTACTCATTTCTTTCCCATGCCAAATAAAAAACATCTCGTTCAGAAAACCCCCATTAATAAACTATTTGTCATTTCAGATTTGGATTTAATGGAGCTGCTTCAGAGACGCAATCCATAACAACCATGCTCAAAACGAATGCTTGAACAGTGTGATAAAAGCGACACGTTTTGCCATATATTATATCAGTTGGTGAGATCGTTCGTGGTGGAGGCTAGGTTAGGTTGATTTTAGTACGGTAAATTTATTAAGTTATAGGGGCAACTTGCACACAGTGACGGGCACACACGAAGAGGGAACCACTGCAAACGTAGCCGCATTAGTCGACCAAACACTCACAAAGAGAATTAGAGAGAGAGAGACAACCAAGCTAAAACTTATGCAAGGGGAGGGGCGGGAAACGCATTCAAATTCAAACCATTCACGGACGAAAAAGGGAACTAAAACCGTTCGTTAGTCAACAGAAGCCAGGACTTGGTGGAATGAAGGAAAGAACCAAAACAAAAAGAGTACAGGGATGCCAATAAAACTGGGAAGGAATCAAAGAAAGATGGACTGACGGAAGGAAGAAAGGGGAAAAGAAAACGACGTTCGTTGAGCGTCGACTTACGACTCTCGTCCTCGTCCCGGCTCGCGCGTTTGCCCAGGGCCGAGAACGGGAGGCTGGACTGAGTGCTCGAGCGGACCATGTTAGGCCCCGCCCCCACCGCGTTGGGCGGGGCGTAGGCCATAGGGTAGGTAAAGCGAGACGATTGGCTGAGAGTGGGGGAGGCTGGGACAGTGTGGGGGCCTTGGGGGCTGGCTAGCTGGGAGAAAGAGCCAGTGCGAGGGAGGTCCTCGCTGAAGGAAGAGTGTTTGGTTCTGGGGTAGGCGCTGTCGGACTTAATACTGTTGGAGCGCTGCAGCGCTTGAGAGGCAGAGGGGGAGGAGCCAGGGAGAGGGGGCGGGGTCATGTCCGCGTGGTGCGCCATCATCCGGGCGTTGGTCAAGGCGCGGGCCTGCTGGATCTGAGCCTGGATGTGGGGGTGGGCCAGAGACTCAAACGTCTCCGAGTCGGACATGGCGTGGGCGTGGAAGGGGTGGGGCGAGTGGGAGGGGGGCGGGCCGGGGGGCAGGCCCACACCGTTACTCGAGTGGGAAGATTTCAACCACATACTTCCTGGCCCCAGCGCGGCAGGGCTGCCGAGCGACGAGTTTCTGGGGCTGGATGCGAACTCCAGAGGCACGTAGTTTGAACCCGGTATCCGCGCGTGGAGCTCCTGGAGGTTGACGTAGTGACTGCTGGGCTTTTCCCCGCCCCTTGAGTACGTGGCGTGGGGGTTGGAGATGATAGTCCCGCCCACAGGACTGGGCGAGTCGCCCTGAGACTTGTTCAAGTTCCCCTTACTTCCGAACAGGCGGCGGCGTCCCAGAGAACTGGACTGGAAGTCTCGGTCCGTCTGCGTGCAGCCGGTGGACTTGCTCGGCGTGAGCCCGCCGTTTTTCTTCTTTCTATCCAGCGTGGAGGAGTTGTATCCCTCCACTAGAGCCATGTCCGGATTGATGGGTTTGCCGGCGGCGCTGGCCGGCCGGGGGATGTCGTGCACGGACCGCTGACCAGTGTCCACTCCGTGCTTGGCCAGACGGCTCCCCACAGCCGACGAGCCGTGACTCGAAGATTTGGAACTGCCGCCGCCATTCTTACTGCTACTCCCGGCGGAGGAGTTACTGGCGTTGCTAAGGGAGCGGCGGTACCCGAACTGAGTCCCAGCGCCGTTGCTTCCGGGGGGAGTTGCGTTCCCGCTGCGCGTGCCGCTTGTGTTGAGGCGCCGCATGCTCGCTTCCAGAAGGTGCGACTGGTCGGTGTTGGTCTCCGTGTCTTTCTTCATCCCGCCAACACCAGGCGCCGGAGAGAAAGACCGGTGAGGCGAGTCGTAGTCACCCTCTGAGTAGTACGCGTAATCTGGGTTACTCCCGTTGCTCATCTTTCTCAAAGAGCTGTACCCGCCCTCGCTACGAGAGGAAGGCCAACCGTAGCCGTAGCCGTAGTCGCTGGGGTCGCTACTCAGCAGTTTGTTAGGGTCGTTGCTAAGGAACTTTCCGGCTTGCGTCAGGGAGTACTTCCGTCCCCATCCACTTCCTATTCCGGAGTCGCTGTTGTAGTCAGTTCCCATAAACGCGCTGGTGCCCAGAGTGGGCACTCTCTTCCCAGCATACCCCGGGGGCGGTGGAGGGTGTCCCAGAGGTGGGGGGTGACCCGATGACCCCCCGTTGGTTCCGTAGCCCGCATGAATAGAGAGGATGTCTTTTGGGGTCCTTTTGAGGCTGTTGTAAGGGTTATCGGAGAGGGCCCCCTGGGAGGACCCCGTGAGGTTCTCGTCTGTGCTGATCTCAGCAATAGTGTCGCTGATCTCTCCGCTGCTGATAGAGCTGCTGTCGTCGAAGCTGTGGGATAGAGAGAATGACGAAATTTAATAAGGAATGTATGCTGTGGGATAGAGAGAGCGAGAGAGAGAGAGAGAGAGAGAGAGAGAGAGAGAAAGAAAGAAGGAAGAAACACGGACTGTTAGCTGTGGGATAGAGAAAATGAAGAAATATGTAATGTTAGCTGAAGGATAGGCAGAAGGAAGAAATACGGAATGTTAGCTGTGGGATAGACTGAAGGAAGGTTTAGTTTGAAATAGAAGAAATCCAACTCGTTCGTTTTGTTTGTGTGTGCACAAGAGAAGTACAAACACATAACAGCATTCATTTGATGCTCAATTGTTATTTCCCTACTCCCAATCTAATATAATAATAAATAGACTGCATTTATATAGCGCTCTATCCTATGAGTATAAGCTCTGAGCGCTTTACAACAATCACATGATCACTAAAACATAATACTTCATTCACGCAGGATAACAGATTTCACAGTAACAAGAAAGACCAGTTTAACAACAGACAGAAGAACCTTGTAGTCTCTTGTAGCCTGTGGTGTTTGTTTTTGTAAGAGTTTTACGGCGCTCGCAACTGCATAAGTGCCTGTGGTGTGACCCTGAAGAAACTTAGAAGACATTAACAATGACATGACATTACAGAGCAAGCAGAAGACGAGCACAATTGATCTGATATGGCGGTGACCTGACATACTGAGGGGTTTGGTGAGAAATGAACAATTATTGCAAAAATGTAAATTATGCAGTTTAAGTGTTATTTCAGGGGAACTCCCCTTCCTAACTTCTCTCATTCTCTCCCCCAGCTCTTTCTTTCCCTCCCCACACTCTCTCTCTCTCTCTCCCTCTCTCTCTCTCTCTCTCTCTCTAAGGTTTTCAAAACGTCTATCACTGTCTCTATCTCAAACACTGTCTGTCTGCCTGCCTGCCTGTCGGTGGTCTCCCCCCCCCCCTCTCTCTTTCTCTCTCTCTCTCTCTCTCTCTCTCTCTCTCTCTCTCTCTCTCTCTCTCTCTCTCTCTCTCTCTCTCTCTCTCTCTCTCTCCATGTCTCTCTCCCAAAAGATCTCGTTGTTGGCGAAATGACAAAGACAAGAGACACGTCTCCACGAAAACTGATTAAGTCTATGGAAATACTGGAGGGTAAAAGGAGCAGACAGGTCGCACTGAACAACACGGAACAATTAAGTGTGGGGAAAACAGATCGATGGAAAAACAAAACTACTGGAGGCGGACTAAAGACGTTTCCACGCTGAGAAAACATTTAGGTACTCACAAACGAAACATACATACATGCATACACACAGATACACAAATGCATACAGACATACACACACATACATACAACACACATAGGTCTACAGACAAACAGACACACACACACACACACACACACACACACACACACACACAAATAGACCCCCCCACGCACATACACAGACACACAAACACACACAAACACACAGACACACACACACACACAAACACATACACACACACCAAAACACACACACACACACACACACACACACCACTACTATTACTAAGTCTTCCTCTCCCAAACACGTAACACGAGAGTATAATTATTTTTTTTTTTTGTTTGTTCTATTTATTTTGTTTGTAAGCGAAAGACATATATTCCATACACACAGCACGAGCGCAGGATGAGAGAAGATCAATATGAAAGCACTCCAACAAGTTTGTCTTGTCTTATTTTGTTTTGTTAGTTAGTTAGTTTTAGTAGAGGTTTTACGGCGCTCGGAACTGCATAAGGTCATATGAACACCAGAAGATTAGAGGTGTTACAAGAGAGTAACAAACATAAAAAAGAAGAAGGGGAGATAAGGACGATAGATCTTTGATAGGAAAGAAGAAGCAAACCACACTAGAGCGCCCGCCAACCACCCTCTTTGTTTGTTAGCGAACGAGCTAAACCATACACGCGGCACATTAGACAGAACACGATTTAAAGATCAAACATCAACGGAGAACACTCCAACAAGTTTGTTTTGTTTTGTGTTCCTTTGATTTGTTTGGTTTGTCAGCGAGCGAACTAGATCTAATTCATACACACCGCACGAGAAACGATCAATATGGACAAAATATTATAAGAGGGAAACACTCCAACGAGTTTGTTCTGTTTTGTTTTGTATCGTTTATTTTGTTTTGTTTGTTTGTTTGGTTTGGTTTGGTTTGTCGGCGAACGAGCTAGACATGATAATCCATACACACCGGACGAGAGCACGATTAATGATCAACACGAGCAAAACATAAACGAGGAACACTCCAACAAGTTTGGTCTGTTTTGTTATTTTGTTTTGTGTTTTATGTTTATTTTGTTTTGTTTGTTTGGTTTGGTTTGTTTCGTTTGTCAGCGAACAAGGCAATTCATACACAACGCGAGAGAGCTAGAGAATAAATAAAAAAAAGAACAAAATACATGTATGAGCGGAGAACACTCCAACAAGTTTGTTTTGTTTGGTTTTGTTCTGCCCGTTTTATTTTGTTTGTTTGGTTGGTTTATCAGCGAACGAGCTAATCCATAAACACCGAATGAAAGCATGATAAAAGATCAATATGAACACAATATATTAAGCGGGAACAATCCAACAAGTTTGTTTTGTTTTGCTTGATTTGTTTTGTCTGCAGCCAACGAGCTAATCCATACACACCGGACGAGAATGACGTCATCCACCGGCCTGGCCCCACCCCCACAGGCCCAGGAGGCGATGGGCACTTTGCGCGGACACGACAGCTCGTAGGCGGAGCGTAGACAGTCCATGGCCGCCGGTGATCGCTTCCGCTTCCCGCCACCACTGCAGCAGACAGAGGCTCGAACTGACACCACATGAAGGACAAGGCAAGCGGTGTGCGTGACTCTACCCTACACAAAACAACTGGTGACTGTGTTCGTCGCTGTCGTTGTCTGATCACGTGGTCATTTGGCGCCACAAAAACGTGGTAGTCAGCTGGTGCTACTACACCACAGAAACCTGGTAATCCAGCTGGCGCCAAAAAAACTCCCAAAACTGACTACCAGTATTGTCTCCCTTTTTCAGGCTGTCGCAGTAATTGTTTCTGTCTGACAGGTCTTAGCAGTATGGGCGAGGATTCCGTTTCTAAGAATGTAACAGTTGCACAAAGTTACTCTGCTATCCTGAAGTAATTGTATCATAACTGTTGTATAACTCTTCCACAATAGTTCATGATCTCCCTAAAATCTTTAAGTAGTTGTATGTATTATTATTGAATTATTGGTCTATGACTGTTGTGTAATGATTCTACAATTAAAATCGCTCTAAAATAAGATAGATAAGATACATCATTATTGTCCAGATCCTGGCACCTTGATTTTGTGTTTCACTACGCGCGCGCG